GGGGCTGGGGCACAGGCCAGGGCAGGGGGCCATGGCAGCATAATGCCAAGCCTGTTTCATGTTGAAGATGGTAGAAAAGCAGGGATTTATGGAGGTGCCACAGGGTACCAACGAGGCATGTCGCTGTGCAGGGCATGGTGCTCCCTGGATGCCTTTGGAAGTCAGGCTGCAGTGACTGAAATTGTCTTTGTCTTCTCTTTGCCAGCTGACATCATCTCCACAGTCGAGTTCAACCACACTGGGGAGCTGCTGGCCACAGGGGACAAGGGCGGCCGCGTTGTGATATTCCAGCGTGAGCAGGAGGTGAGTGCCACCGCATGCACTCATTTCTCCTTTTACTCTCATTTCATGATTCTAATGCTTTTCCTGAACTTTGGGCCTCCAGCATCATTCTGAATGTATCCACTGAGCTCCTGTTGGAGGGGACGTGTGGGGCTTCACCCACCCACCCAAACCAAGGCTGCCCATCCTGGTGCTTGTGGCTGCTGCCAGCAGCTCTTCTGTGCTGGGTTCAGCACCTGGCAGGAGCTGGCCCTCGGTCCCAGCCGTTCACTGGGGACAACAGTGGGGTGGGATCCATCCCTGGTACATTCCCTCTCATTCCGCTCTGTTTCCACTCCATTCCCTCTCCATTTCCTCTGCATCCCCACTGTGTTCCCATTCTGTCCCCTCTCCATTGCCACTCCATCCTTGCTCTGTTTCTGTTTCATTCCCTCTCATTCCCTCTCCATTTCCCCTCCGTTCCCTGCTCCCTTCCCTCCGAGCACACCTGGAGCCCTGGTGCCAGCCCGGCTGTGCCCGGGCACTCAGCCCAGCCCTCGCTGCCCCCAGCCCGGGGCCCTGAGCCCACCCTTCCTCCTCCTGTGTCCCTGCAGAGCAAGAACCAGCCCCACCGCAGGGGAGAGTACAATGTCTACAGCACCTTCCAGAGCCACGAGCCCGAGTTCGATTACCTGAAGAGCCTGGAGATCGAGGAGAAGATCAACAAGATCCGATGGCTGCCGCAGCAGAACGCGGCCTATTTCCTGCTCTCCACCAACGGTACGTGGCATCCTGGGCTCCCTCTGCCAGCTGTGCCCTCTCTGTGCTGCGTTCTTGGGGAAATAGCTACCAAAAACTCTCCCTGCAGGGCAGCACGGGCATCCTGGGGAATGGGGTGGGCAGAGCTCAATCCCTGTGCACCAGGTGAATTTCACACAGCCCCTCCCTTTGAGGGCGTCTGCCCTGACAACAACTTGTGGCTTTTATTCTCAGGATCCTGGGAATTTTATTTATTGTTTTTTAAGACAAACTGCAGGTGTTTAGTTTCAATTTGCAGTCATGTTGGGCTCAGCAGTTCCATCCTATGTTCTGATAAATATCATGAGGATCTAGGAATATTACTTGGGATGAATGGAACCTTAAGATGGATGTGACTTAATTACTTCAGGGGAAAGGGAGGGGTCTAATTATATTCCATAACCAACTTACTTTGTGTTATAGAATTGACTCTATTGATCATTGTAATAAAATTCAAAGACTTATTAAACTCATTTGGGGGAGAATCATTGAAATGAAATGAAGATTAATTATACAGTATAACGTTCTGTTAATTGAGTTTTTAAATAGTTTTTTGATTAACAGGGATATTACACCTTCCATTTGGGTTGCGTTCCATATGCAGGCAGGTTATCAAAACATTAGTTTGGAAATACTCCTGTTTTATTCTGTTTCTTTTTGTTCTTACTGTTACACTAACATTTTATAGTGAGCCCCCCAAAATAGAGCATGTTAATAAAAACAAAATTAATTGGCACTGCTTTGGAGTCGCTGTGCAAGACAGAAAATGAAGATGGATGATGGGGTTTTGTATGAAACCTGGTGGAAGTGATGATAAACTATGGATGGAGTCCCTGCCAGGAGGGAGCGAACAAAACACCATTATTCAGAATAACCTCAGGTGTTCCTGGTGTTCTTTCTGCGGGGGCTCTGTGGCACAGGGGGCAGGATGCTGGGAGGAGACTGGGGGCTGCTGGGGTGGGAGCTGATGGGCTGGGAACTGATGGGGTGGGAGCTGATGGGGTGGGAGCTGCTGGGCTGGGAGCTGATGGGGTGGGAGCTGCCCTCAGTGCTGTGAGTGCTGCATGGGGAAGGTCAGTGTGACCCAGGGTGAGCCACAGCCACCCTGGCACTATGGATGGGCCACAGACACCCTGGCACTGTGGGTGACCAACAGCCACCCTGGCACTGTGGGTGAGCCACAGACACCCTGGCACTGTGGGTGACCAACAGCCACNGTGACCAACAGCCACCCTGGCACTGTGGGTGAGCCACAGACACCCTGGCACTGTGGGTGACCAACAGCCACCCTGGCACTGTGGGTGAGCCACAGCCACCCTGGCACTGTGGGTGACCAACAGCCACCCTGGCACTATGGATGGGCCACAGACACCCTGGCACTGTGGGTGAGCCACAGACACCCTGGCACTGTGGATGGGCCACAGACACCCTGGCACTGTGGGTGAGCCGCAGACACCCTGGCACGGCTCAGGGGCACGTCCAGGGCTGGGGTGCCCTGCACAGCTGCGTTCCTGCTCAGGGCTCTGCACCAGCAGCCCGCTGTGGGCACAGGTGCCTCCATCACCATTTCCAGCGGTGGCACTGGGGGCACAGGAGGTTTTCCCAGCCTTGGTGCATCCATCAGCGGGTGGCTCAGGGAGCAGCTGCCTTGATGCTGTCCCCTCTCCTCCCCAGATAAGACTGTGAAGCTATGGAAGGTCAGCGAGCGGGACAAGAGGCCGGAGGGATACAACCTCAAGGACGAGGATGGCCGACTGCGAGACCCCTCCATGATCACCGTGCTGCGGGTGAGTGTGGGGGACCGGGGTGGCTGAGGATGTGGGGCCTTGGATGGAAAGTGCTGCTGGTGTCAGCTGTGTGCCCTGGGACCTGTGTGCCATGTCCCCTGTGTGCCGTGTCCCCTGTGTGCCCTGGGACCTGCAGTGCCCCCGTGCCACACTTGGGCGGTGTCCAGGGCCATCCTGGCACCCTGGCACTGTGGCCGGTGCCCAGGCAGGGCAGTGGGCGAGGGAGCTGCCAGGGGTGTCTGGGCTGTGCTGGTGCTGGGCAGAGGTGCTGCCAGTGCCGTGTGTGTGCCCTGTCTGGTACCCCAGTGCCCCTGTGTGCTGTGCTGTGCTGCCCCACGGGCCGGGCCCATCCCAGTGAGAACGCAGAGCAGAAGCTCTCCCAGCTTGGAGCATTCCCAAATGTGGCTGCTGCTGTAGGAGCACAAGTGCCTCCTCCAAATGAGTTTTCCTCCTGGTCATGACCTTAATCAGACCAGCTTGTAATTTATTAACACCCTGTCAGAATTTGCATTTTGAGTACTTGTGGGTTTTATATTTATACATATGAAATTATTACTATGACTGTGCTTACCTCACTTTATGGGTCCCAGTTCCATTGTGCATGAAGCCACTGAGAACCCTGGGCAGGCAGTTAGCTCTTGTCTCTGTACAGGGTTACTCCTGGGGACTGGCAGCGTTTTTCTTTACAGAACAAGGGAGCATTCATTTCATGTAGATGTGTATCTGCTGCTCTGTCTCAGGCAGCATTTCCAGCCTAACCTGGTGGTACCTGGCAGCCCGTTGCAGAGGTTTGCTGGGTGCCTGGCTGTCAGAGCTGGGGCTGTCAGCCCTCGGCAGGCTGGGAGGCAGGATTTGAGAGGCAGCACTGTTAAGGGTGTTATCCCAGCTGGTGCTTCCTTCTCTGGTCAAACACACCGGGAAGGCCCTGGGATTTCTTTCTCCCCTCTAGAAAGTCATGCTGAAATATCAGAGAACCCAACAGGGTTGGAGTCCACTCATTGCCTTGAAAGCTTCAGCCTCTGTTTTACTGTCAGCCCTGCACTCCTGGCAGCAGCTCAGTGCTGTGTGGTGGAGGAGCTGCTCCTTGGGGTCTGCCACTGCTCTGGGGCCGGTTTGGGGTCTGCCACTGCTCTGGGGCCGGTCTGGGGTCTGACACTGCTCTGGGGCCTGGCGCTCCATTCCTGCCCAGGGAGTTCTGCCCTGGTGAGTGGCTGGCAGAGGCACTGGGAGGGCAAACACGTCTCAAGTGCTCGGTGTGATGCTTGTTGGTACCTGCTGTGCAGTGCCTCTGGTCCCTGAGGACACAAGACTGAGGAGTCTTCCAGCAGCTCTATTTTATCTAATGTTTTGATGATTTTACTTAGACAGATATTTACAATAGCTGTAACCGTTTTGCTGCAGCTTGGTGTAAATCTGACGTGTAATTGTCCTGTGATGGGTATGCTTTAAATTAAAGCCACATCCATCCATGGTTTAATTTTCAACCACAGATAAGTGAAAAAAGGGTTTTAATGCACTTTGCTGCCATAATTTCTCATCCATTTGGCTAAATGGTTTAAATGCATTTGATGAGCATCATCCTCTGAGGAATTTCTAACCCACACAGTGCAAAAGGAATATTTAACTCTGCTCAGGCTGTGTAGTGAGGTGTTTGCAGTCATCAGAAGAGCTCTGGTGATTTGAATCACCCCAGTCTAATAGCTGCAGCCTCTGACCTTGTGTGGCTGCCTTGGTGTGCTCCGAGCAGCACTCTCTGTACCTGAGCCTTGGGACATGCTAGGAGATAATTAACAAGTGATATCCAGGGATAAAGCTTTCCAAAGAGGGGATGTGTTGGCTGTGGTAGCTCCCAGCACGGGGCACTCTGGG